GATATGATATGATATGATATGATATGATATGATATGAAGTGTGGTATATACAATTTGTGTACACCTACCAAAATATTGTGATGTATTATCAGGACAACCATATAGTTCAATACGGAGTGAGGTATATGCCTGTAAGGTGCTCGATGTAGATTCAAAACTGATTATGGATACCACGACATATCTGGCCGTTATCGGCTCCAGTAGTTTATTATATGTGATGGAATCAACACTTGTACCATAGTCGTGATAAAACTAGAATAGAAAGAAAGTGATAGGAAATACACACTAGTTGACATACTATCAAATCTGACATGATTAGTTGCATTCTAAGTTCTTCAATAGTTTTATTATTACCAAATTTGAAAACCTGGGATATGTTTACAGGACCAGTTTTCTGTTAATCATTCAGGGATTGTACAGGAGAACAACTACTTTGTTTGCATCGTTATGTATTAATAAGATTAATAAGATTTAGATTAGACATGTCAAGTTGTATCGTATAAAGAGGCGATTTAGCAGCAGATATAAAAGAATACTTCACACTAGTCTAAGAATTACCACATATACAATATTCAAAATGAGGTGTGATGTTTTATATATATCAAAACTGATATTACATAACAAATTGACAGTCAGTCCGCGATATGAACAGTTTGTAAAATATATTGGGATTTGATCAATACACTTACTATCGAGGATAATCCATCCAGTGGTTTGGCAGAGGTGTATAAATTATCGTCTGTACTGTAAAACAGTTTAAAACTTGATATTTCACCTGAGTAAAATTCATTATTGAAACCAATGCCAGATCCTCCTTGGGTAGCAATTTCTGTGATTTGAAAGATGTCTTCCAGATCAATTTTCAGGTAACGATATTGATCTCCATCCCGTGCTTGTGATTTCCATGCTTTGAAAGAGAAAGTATTTACTAATAATTCTCTAGTAAATGTGACAAATCAATGAAATAAATGACAGTGAAGAGAGAGAGAGAGAGGGTTGAGAATTTTAAAAGTCACATACAAAATATTTTCCCTTCATAAACATGGATTATGCTGATCCCTTGAATAATTTTCATAATAATGAATTTCATAAATTTCATAATTAAATAATCAATGAAAAGCAAGTACCCATGTTCCAAACTCATCGCCATTCCTAGTGTTGCAAGTGCAATAAATAAACCGAAAAGAATATAATTAGACTTATTAAGTCTTGGTCTTAATTTGCAAGGACAATTATTAGGTAGTATTATTAGGTATATGATTATTTCTGCTCAGTGTTTTTTCTCAACTGTAGAATAAGCATTACGATGAGCATCCTTATCAAACTGGAGAGTTTCTTGAACACTGGAATATATATTAATTCATATCAATTTAATTAGATATTTCAGAAATTATGCTATTACCTCCATCTGCATTGTTCAGTCTGGCATAGTGTGCTGGTGCATATTCATCAGGTGCAAAGGATGCTGTTATTTGACAGTCAAGAATGGATCCATCTTCCATCCCCAGCGCCATTTTACATGTGTTATTATCTGCAATGGAAACCACAGTATTTGTATGCATTCACAATCAGGACATTAATAAACATGTACTCAAATTTATCATTCATTTTACAAGAACATACAATGCTTTATTTACCTGATACATTGTGATGCCCTGTGACATTGAAAGCGTAGGTAACACTCTTCAAGCCAGGATCATAAAATACCGAGCCAGCTGTATTGACGTTCCCAACTCTGTGCTTCATATAATATAACTGCTCTACTGGAGTGGTGGCAATGTACTCACCGAGTGTGTCAAGCATATTGTCTGGATCCAGTATGACGACAAATCCAAAATGTACAGTGTCAGTGAAAAATAGTCTTGCCAACTAAAAGAAAACATCAAAAAGGTTGTGTATTGCCCAAATACATGTTATGCATGTATGGGAAATAGAAATAAACAAATTAAATGACAACTAATTATGCTCTTTAATTCATTGAGTAGTGGCCCAGTTGAATGCTGCCCATCCAGGCACAGTTACATCATCTTTGATTGTACCATTGATTTACCCGCACATACACACAGCATACATGCTTGTTATACCTTCAACTGTAAGCCATTAGGTTGGTATGTGATTATCAGTGATTCAATGCCGTCATACCATATCCCTTGGTGGTAGGAAATATAAGGTGGTAGAAATACAGAAACTGTGACGTTATATGCTTCTGCAGTTGATTCCAGTGTGTGAAAAAGGCTGATATTATAAGAGACAGTATCCCTGGAAATTGAAATAATGATAATGTTCATAATAAAAAGACTAAATACAGTAATTATGGTGATTTATTTTTAGCTATTTCTAATGGCAAGCAGTATGAAAGTGTTAGATACTGTCAATTTCAAACAGTTTAGAGTTTAGTGCAGAATGTTATCGTTAAACACGTACCCTTGATTGAGATTATATACTCCATCTTGTGATGTTACATTAAAATCTAAATATGGTCGTTCTGAGTTGTCGCGCGACACGACAATCTCTTGTTGGCCAATCCAAAGCTGATTAGCGTAACTGGCGCCACAGCTAACCCAATGAGCCGATCCAACCTCGTTCTCAACAGCATCCGTTAGCAGAACTTCAAAGTCTATAATGATCATATCGTCATCTTCTTTCCATACACCTTTACTGCGTGTATGCCCTGCACATTATGAAGTGATATATAGCTTTTATTGTCAACTACTTACAGTTGAGAAAAATAAACGAAAAAAGTTATTCTGTTCATATGCAATTGTGATAACTATAGGCGATATATTTGAGAACAATAGCAATTTAACATATCTAAGTTAAATAATCAATTTTCTTTCCTTATTTTCAGTTTTTCTATGAAGTGCACCGCTCATTTGCTATGGAAAGCTGGCATATGTAATTACATACTGAATGTTTTCAACAACATAACATTGTTTCTCTCTGCCAAAATAATTATAAATGAAGTATACGACTACGGTGTTTTAAATGCTTTTGCCGTTACCACAAGCTGGAGGTCCAGTGTGATCACATGACTATCAGTTCTCTTGTGAACAGTGTTTTCTTATTTTGAGTCATTTGCATTAACCTGTTTTTGATGAATTCGAACATATCTAGATTGTAATGAGAACTTTGCATCAAAAGAGATAAAACAAATCCCCAAGGATTATGTTCTTAAGGATTTGTGCTCATTTTAAAGCCAAACTGAGAGATGTGGTTTTTACTGAATGAGTCGAAAGAATAAAAAAAATGTGATGTGAATGTTGTATAAGTGCTTAGTCATATATCAAATCAATTTCAGCGTGTTGGCATTTAAAGAGTTGAAACGTTGTGTTGTACATTGTAAAAATGGTGTTAATATTGTAGATATACATCAACAGCGCCATCAACAGTAATTGTCATCATTAATGATACACTTGTAAGGTGTTCTCAGGTGGTGTTAATTTGTATGCTAAATTGTGATTTCACATTTGAAGGAGGTTTATTGTGCTATCAGTACACGTCGACATTGAACTTAGATATGTTTTTATACAAGCACGTGTTTAAAAGATGTTCATAGGTATAATTAAATTACTGCATACGTTAAATAATACGACAACAACTCGTTTCTCTTAGTTCGTGAACTCAGACCTCAAGTTCATTTATTCACAAGTTTTGAAAATGTCGAAACAACATATAACCTTACCTTCTTGAAAGTGTAATCGTACCTGTATTAACTATAATCCCGAAGTCCATCGAGGCTTGATCATACTGAGAACTATTATCCGTTGATATAAAACGAGGTTCCAACATAGAATCAAAACAACCGATATTATCTCCGACATGAATTATCTGGAAATTTGTGATCGCCAAGTTTGCTGTATCGTTGAATGGTAGAAATACTTTAACGAATAGTGAAGCCACGCCTTCCGGCAACGTTATGTTTATCAGGAAGTTCATTCTGTCACCTGGGCGTGTGTACGTCGTCGACTCAACACTATATAGAATGAAAACGGCCTGGAGAATAACAAAATGCAATTCGATTAGACATACGTCATAATGACGTTGATAAGGCTTTTCAATGTCATTTAACTGTGAATAAATACAAGTTGAGATTTTTCCACGGCAGAAAAAAAAAACCTGTTCGAAATATGACCTTCTATAACTCCTGGCTTCCGCTCTCCAGGTCTAAAAATGTAGTTAGGTTTTGATTATTACTAAAAAACACCAGCCACTGGTTGTGGCATCATACTCATGGCCGGTAGACCCAAGTTCAAATCCTACCTTAGGCTGGACATCAAAAGGTTCGACCCCTACCCTGGGTGAGTGTGCACAGGCTCAATGAGAAGGGCTTTTCCACTGGCCGAGATTCATTCACTCACGAATGTGAATTTGGGGGAACCATGGTTAAGGTCTGCTGGTGCTTGTGTTCGACCGAACCTGGTTGGCGCCAGGATAGCCCATTGCCATTTGATAGAGAGATGGCCACACAACCCTGTCATGTAGTCCCAAACATGCAAATTACTTCTGTGGCAAAATGCACTATGTGTCAGCACTTGCAATTTGCACATACAAAAAAAAGGTCAGGAGAGACAACAGTGACATTAAAATACCCGAGCAATCGCCTGGCACAAACAAAAAATACTAAAAACAAACAAACAACACATTCATGTGTATGTGATTTTGTTCATGTGGTGTGTGAATTTGTTCGCATGAATGTTTTCAAACTACAAGCCAGTAGTATATTTTGGGATACCAGACATCATAGTATATTAATCTCCATTGTGACAGTGTGAAATCTTCCCTACCAATCAAAATCAAAACCGCTAAAAGTGGAGATGAGACGACGAGGACTGGCGTA